AAGAGGAAGATTCAGTAGTTGGAAAACATGGACTCGGTGACAGAAATGGAGCTGGAGAGAGAATGATCGAGTTTTGCACAATCAATGACTTATTCATAGCAAATACCTTTTTCAAGAGGCATAAACGCAGGTTATATACCTGGATTTCACCTGATGGCATGCATAGGAATCAGATCAATTACATATGTGGAAAGAGGCAGAGTAGAGTGCAGAAAACCATGGAGGGGTATCGCCAAGCCGACTGGAGTGATGGCACCTTCTAGGTCTTTCTCCTTTGTAGCTTCAGCTTTGCTGTTTGGCCAAGCATATGGGCAGCTTCTGAATGCCAGAGTTCAGGGTCAAAAGCTGTGGGGACGTGGAGATGAGAGTGATGCTTACGAAGGTTTTCCTCTGGAGGAATAGCAGCCTAACGAATGTTCTGGAAAGTAGTGTTTGTCTGTGGGCTCTGTTCCTTAGGGTGGGAGTGGCTCTGACCCTCCTCCCCTAGTTGCTCCAGGTGGGCCTGCCTGTGAGCTGCCCCATCTGTTCAGGGATTAAAGTCCACCTGAGGTGACTTACCTTCATGTCCGGCTCTCTGTGCTGCCTTTTTCTCATCTGTGCTGAGGTGACTTTGCCAGGCTCACCTATGGCTCAACCTTGGGGAATTTCCTGTGCCTGGGCCCTACCTCTTCAAGGAGCTCAGGTGAGTCAGGGACCTGAACCTGGATGTAAGTGCTGGGTGGGGAAAGAAATAAGGCTTGGCTCACCTGGCCAGTGTCACCTCTGCTTCCCCCCAGCCCCCATCAGCATCCAGCAGGGTGCAGGTTTGTGGTGAAGACACTGAAGAGGATCTCATTGCCTGGCGTGTGTTGTCTCAGACAGTGAATGCTAGGTCTTTGCCAGTCTCTGGGCATCGGCCCCAGCACCAGCCTCTCCATGGGGGCACTGGGAATATGTTTCTTTACAACTGCCATTATCTTTACTGTGATGATTGTTAGTGGAGCACTTACCTGCACTGGGCATAACTTTAAGGGCATTCTGGGTGGCAGGTTGCTCCATCCTGTCTTGGCCTCAAGGAAAGTGGTGCCTCATTTTACAGGTGAGGCAAGTCTGGGAGCCTGAGTGCTTTGACTAGTAGGGCCGAGTTTTGAATTCCATGCACAGCACCCCGACCACGGCCTGGGCAGGAACTTCTCTGTTTTCCCAGGGCCTCAGATCTGTTCCCTTTCTTGTCTCCAGGTGTGCTTCACTTTTCCTCTGTCTTGGGAAGGGATAAAGTTGCAGCATTTGGAATTGGAAAGGGCAATCTGACCATACTGATGAGATGAGGGGCAGGTTCTTTGGGATTTGGAGTTTTGACCTTTTGCCTGTCTGGCTTTCTTAAAATTTTTCTAGAATCTCTCTAGGGTGCCCACCCTAGGCAGCAATGCCAGGATGCCTGTCTCTGCCTCCCTCCACCAAGATGGCAGCCAAGAGCGCCCAGTGAGCGTGACCTCCACCTCCTCCTCGTCAGGCTCCTCCCAGGACAGCCGAGATACCATGGAGGAGCCTAATGGCTCTGAGGCTTTGGCCGAAAATGGGGCAGGCTCCCCAAAGAGCCAGCAAGCCCCCAACAACAACAACAACTCCAGCAGCACGCTGACCAGGAATGGGCCCTTGTCCCCATTAAACAACTTGGCCTCATCAGGGCACGAGCTCAGCTACGTAGGCCGTGTGGTGAGGGAGATTGTGGAAACGGAGCGGATGTACGTTCAGGACCTTCGCAGCATCGTTGAGGTGAGTGCCTGTCCACTAGGACGCCAGGTCCTCAGAGCTGAGGGTGGGATGAGACTACTCATTTCTCCTCCTCACCAGGCTCAGGGTCTTGGGTCTCTTGTTGCTGTGTACTCTGGAGTCAGGACCAACCCATAATTGACCCTCTAGCAGGTTTTCAGAGGCAGTCAATTACACAGGAGAAGATTGTCCATCTTTCTTCCATGGAGCAGCTGGTGGATTTGAACCACATACCTCTGTGTTGGTAGTACAATTCCTTACCACTAGGCCGCTGGGGTTCCCTAAAGCTCTTGTAGAAGTCTGTATCATCCTAGGAAGCAAAACGGTCCTTGACACATTTGTTTTAAAAGATCTGCTTTGTGTGGGCACTTTGGGTCACCAGCTTTTGTACCTCCCTTTATCCCCTCGTCACACTTCCTCATGACTGTGGACATCCCATCAGTAGCTTGGGATGATAGAACTTCCTACAAATCCCCAGGACATGACTACATTGCATAGATTGGGGGAGAAGGTCTCTAGCCTGACTGGAAGGAGAATGGCCATTGGAAAGGTTATGTTTCTGGAAGACAGGACACAGCTAGAAAACTGGCCCTGGACCGTTGCCTTATGAGATCCAGATCCCTGCGCTGTTATTTCCTGGCTGTGGGTCTCAGACACCTTGTATAACCCAAGCCTCGGTTTTCTCATTTGGAAACGAAGACACGCCTACCTGCAGAGGTGCTGTGAGGATTAAACAGGTTAATGTAGATATTGTTGTTGTTAGATGCCATCGAGTTGCCTGTGACTCATAGCGACCCTATGTACAACAGCTCTGAAGCCTGCCCTGTCCTGAGCCAGTCTCACTGACTCTGAGATACCTACCCCTATTGCCCTATTGTATCAGTCCATCTCATCTGGGGTCTTCCTCTCCTGCACTGTCTCTTCACCCTTCCCAGCATGATGTCATTCTCTAAGAATTGGTCCCTCCTGGCCACAGGCCCAAAGTACGTGAGACAGAGCTTCAAAATCCTAGCTTTCAAGGAGAAACTTGGTTTCATCCTAAGACAGACCTATTCGTTTCCTTGGAGGTCCAATGGTATGTTCAAGACTCTTCTCCATCACCACAACTCAAAGGCATCAATTCTTCTTCTGTCATCCTTAGTCATTGTCCAGCTCTCTGATGCACAGCAAGTAATTGTGAAGACCATAGCCTGGATTAGGTGCACCTTAGTCCCTAGGGATGACTGGAGCAGAGGGGCAGGGTTCTCAGGCACTTTGCTCTCCCCACAGGACTACCTCTTGAAGATCATTGACACACCTGGGCTGCTGAAGCCAGAACAAGTCAGTGCCCTCTTCGGGAACATAGAGAACATCTACGCGCTGAACAGGTGTGTTTTGCTGTACCAGGTTCTGTTGTGAGGCCCTCTGCCTAGGGAGGAGCCCTGGACATCCCTGAACTCTGACTGTGGTGTGTGGGTCAGCCTGGCCTCTGAGGGAATGGCAAAGGTAGTCAGTTCTTATATGGTAATTTAGCTAGTTCCCTGCAAGGAGAGAGGACATCAATTGCATATGTGGGTTGAGGTGCCTCCTATCAGATTAGGGAGTGGAGCTTGTATTCTGAGAACATATGCCCATGGGTCCAATTTGGGAGACTGACACACTCTTGTATACTGATGCTGCCCCCAGTAGATGGCTCCTCTGTCCCGCCATCTTCCTTTTCTACATGTGTCTCTTAATTTCTTCCCCACGACCTCACTCACCCTTGAGACTAGAGTTCCCTGGGCATGATCTGACCCACTGTTGGGATGTACAGGATGAGGAAGACATGATGGAGGAGGCTGAGCACAGCCTGGTGAGGGCCAGTCTCAGGCAAACGGGCTTTACTAGGCCCGACTGTGCCACCTCAGATCACAGACTCCTTGGGGACAAGAGAGCTTTGGGGGGGGGGGGAGTGATGACAACCTTATTTATCCTGGACCCTAAATATGAACAGAAATATCGGCTGCTGTCCAAGAGCTGGGCAAAGTGAAGACTAGGCTGAGCTAGGGAGGTAGAAGGAGGTTGGGAAAAGAAAAGTCCAGAAGGAACACTGTCTCTAGGACTTCCTACTGTTTCTCATCTAAGAAAAGGGGACTTGGGACTTGCTCATCTCATCCTTTCCCTCATTCTTCTCATCTGGGGTCTTGGTTCCTCGGCAAGCCCCTTCTCTCTCCTTCTTCCCTTTAATCTTTGCTTTTGTGTGTTTGACTCCTGTCTGCAGAGGACCTGTGTCCCCTCCGCAGGTGGGTAGCGGCGTCTCTTTCTCCTCCCCAGCTTGCCAGCACGTGACTCTCCCTCCCCTGACTTTGCGGTGGTGTTCAGTGTTTTTGTGGTGGCTGCTGTGGGGCAGGGCTTGCTCAGCGGGTGGAAGTCTTGAGCATGACAGCGGGGCTGGCCGTGTGTCTGGGCATGAGGAGGTGGGAGAGGGCGGGCAGCTGGTCAGGAGGCAGCAGCCAAGCGACGTCTGATTCTGATGGCTATTTTTCCCTCACACAGCCAGCTACTCAGAGACCTGGACAGCTGTAATAGTGATCCCGTGGCTGTGGCCAGCTGCTTTGTGGAACGGGTAAGAAGGAGACTTGTCCCTTGTCCCACCAGAGCTTAGAGGGACAGAGGCTCCCAGAACAGTGTGTTTTAGAGGAGAGTTAAGTCCTGAGAGTCACTTCCAGGGGAAATTCTAGTTGCCTTGACTGGGGTGGGACCATTGGCTGGGTAGAAGCGGGTCCCAGATAGATGAGAAGAAAGATGGACCTGTGTGCAACCCGGAGGTGAAGTGGACCGGGGATTATGTTCTCTGGGGGTCAAGGTGTCACAGGTAAAGGAGAGGATTCCAGAGATATCTATTTGGTTTCTCCTAGAGCCAAGAGTTTGATATCTACACCCAGTATTGCAACAACTATCCCAAGTGAGTAACTGGGGATGGGTGGAGGCAGAGAGCTCTAATGAGTCCATTGCACCCCGGCTCCCCAGCCTGTCCCTGGTGGTGATGTCCTTCTCCCTCCCCCAGCTCAGTGGCCGCCCTGACGGAGTGCATGCGGGACAAGCAACAGGCCAAGTTCTTCCGGGACCGACAGGAGCTGCTGCAGCACTCGCTGCCCTTGGGGTCCTACCTACTGAAGCCTGTCCAGCGCATCCTCAAATACCACCTGCTGCTCCAGGTACCCCAGGGGTCTGCCCTGGCACATGGGGTCAGGCCGCAAAAGGAGTCTGAGGGTAGATGGGGACCGAACCCTCCAGTCTGGCTTACCTCAGCCCCTGTCTCCTGCACAGGAAATTGCTAAACATTTTGATGAAGAGGAAGAGGGCTTCGAGGTGGTGGAGGATGCCATCGACACCATGACCGGTGTCGCCTGGTATATAAATGACATGAAGAGAAGGCATGAGCACGCGGTCCGGCTCCAGGTGCTGCTGCGCTGGAGGCTGGGGGGACTGGCCTGGGGGCTGGCAGCCTGGGAGTGAGCTGAGGGGTGAGGGGCCTGTGTGAGGTAGCTTTCTCTGAGAGGTGCTCTTGGGTGGAATGTCTTGGGGGCCTAGAGCTGAGACTGGCCCTGTGTGATCCCCTTATGGTCCCCATTAGGGTCCTAGCCTCCTGATCTGGGCTCTTCTCTGTGCAGGAGATTCAGTCACTGCTCATTAACTGGAAGGGCCCAGACCTGACCATCTATGGGGAGCTCGTTCTGGAGGGCACGTTCCGTGTGCACCGCGTGCGCAACGAGCGCACCTTCTTCCTCTTTGACAAAGCGTTGCTCATCACCAAGAAGCGGGGCGATCACTTTGTCTACAAGGGACACATCCCGGTAACCAGGCCTGGGCTGATCACCCTGCCCGGCTCCCCTTGCCCTCACTGTTCTGAGAACACTCTCCCTGCTTCCTTAAGGTGGCCCTTTGAGCTCCAGCTCACCTGAGCCCTCCCTCACATGCCGGCCTTCTCCCTCTGCCCCTAGTGCTCCTCCCTGATGCTTATCGAAAGCACCAGAGACTCCCTGTTCTTCACCATCACCCACTACAAGCACAGCAAGCAGCAGTACATCATCCAGGTGAGGGGTGGCCCAGGGGTGTCTTTGCGAGCCCACAATGGGGACTTTGGAACCAAACACACCTGCAAATGAATCTTAGCTCCTCCGTCACTTAGCTGTCCTAGCTGCAGCCTTTCCAACTGTCAAATAGAGATAATTGCGTGTGCTCTACAGTGTAGTGAGGTTTCAAGACAACCTCACGGAGGATGCCCGTACAGCCTCCCTCCACCTCTGCCTCTCTTGGTAGAAATGTAGTCCAGGTTGGATGGCTGCAGACCCTATAGTGCGAACTGCCACATTCCTTTTCTTTGGGTCCCCTCAGGCCAAAACCATGGGGGAGAAGCGGAACTGGACACACCACATCAAGAGGCTCATCCTGGAGAATCACCACACCACCATCCCCCAGAAGGTGAGTTCCCAGGTGACACTCTCTCTGGCTCCTGATAGGGGTGCAGAGGGGGTTTCCTTGAGGGTGGACTCAGGGTCTGCTGGGGTTTGGCCTGCGGACTTGATTGTACTGGGTGGTGGGCTGCAGTGGATGGGTGCCTGGGCTCAGCTGGACAGTGAGCGTCTGCTGCAGGTGCTTCAGGCATAGCACAGTATGCTGAGCATCCCGAAGCAGCAGTAGTAAGTCCTGTGCATCAGGTGAGGCCCAGAGAGCAGCCCAATGGTAACAAAGAGACCTGCCTTCCCTTCCAGGCCAAGGAAGCCATCTTGGAAATGGATTCCTATTGTAAGTATAAACTTTCCCATCTATTTTGTCATTAATAATGTGCACATCAATAGGTCTGACTGCATCCAAGGAAGCCTTGCCTGATAGTTATTTTCGAGGGAGCAGGGAAGTCCAGGAGGGACTGGGATACACTGCCAAGTTGGTGGCATACTTGTCACCGAGAGACAGGGCTGTCACTTCTGGAAGCCCCTAGACAACACTGACAGGAGATGAAAGAGGAGGGGGTCTGGAAGCTTCTAGTACCTAGAGCTAGGGTGGGGAGCAGAGCTGTGGTAGGGAATGGACAGAGTCCCAGCAAAGCTGTTTTAGGAAGCTGAAGACCCAGTTGTGTCTCCTGTGTCCAGATCCCAGTCAGTACCGCTACAGCTCAGAGCGGCTGAAGAAGGCCTGGTCTTCCCACAATGAGGTGTCCACCCATGTGCGCCAAGGGCGCCGGCAATCTGGTAAGCAAAGGACCCTGTGTGCAGAGGTGGCTCCAGGAGACCTGGCAGGAGGCCATCTGCAGTAGACCATTGCTCTGACCTCTCTGGAAATCCTGGGAAAGGGTGGAAGAGAGAGGAGGGCCAGTGGACATCCTGGAGCGTCCTTGCCCTATGCTCCTGCTGTCCTACTCTTATGACCACTGAAGATGGATAGCTGTCTTTTTCAAGTCTTAAGATACTTGTTTACTTGGGTGTTGGGACCTTTGTGTAGCTCCCCTGCAATCTACCTCGCCCTCTTTTACCAGCAGCAATACCTGGTCAACTGGGAATAACTACTTGGCCATGAATAGTCCCTAGTTCTGGAACAACAGAGCAGACGCTAAACTTGGAGAAAATGAGTTAGACTTCAAGGTGGCACCAAACCCAGACAGGAAATATTTACTTTGGTTCTCGGGACAAAGTTCCATTTTCTTCTCCTGGGTTTTCTTCCTTCTGGGCTTGCTAGGTTCTTGCACGTGTTGGAGTGAGTCATCTATTTAGAAAGAGAAAACTGTGCTTTTATTCTTAGCTCTTAGAGTGAAGAGTGTGTGTGTTTTGACTTTCCTATTCGGTCTCAGGCCCAGGGACAGATGTGTCCTAAACTGTGTACCTGCCAAATAAGTATCAAGGTGGGAGTAAGACCCCTTGAAAGAAGAATTTTGTTGGAGTGACTGAGAGGCATGTCCTACCTTGGTTCTCGATCAAGTATGTCGGCTTTGATTGTCCACGACCTCCATTTCTGCTCAGAACATTTGGGCTTTTGCCTTCTGGGACAGAGCTGAGCAGTCTGAAAGGTTTTGTTTTATGGGTTTTGTTTGTTTGATATTACACAGGCTTGATATTGAACCCTGGGCAAATTTGCTGTGGTCGTGAAAGTCTTCTGAAGCCTCAGATTGGGAGTTTCTCTGGACCCCTTCTTGTCCCATCCTCGTTTTCTGTACTTCTCTAGCATTTTTCATTTGCCATCGCTTCAGACTAGAAGCTTCATGAACATGTTGTTGTTAGGTACCATCAAGTTGGAACTGACTCCTAGCTGACTGTCCAGTTTTCAGAGGCTCTGAATTACATGGGAGCAGATTGCCCATCTTTCTCCCACAGAGCAGCTGGTGGATTTGAACCTTGTGCCTTGGAGTTTGCTGTGCAGCTCCTTATCTCTAAACCCCCAGAGCTCCTCAGAGAGCTCTTGCACAAAGAAGTGTTGAGTAAATGATGATGGAAGCATTGGTGACCATGATGCTCACTGTCATAGAATCAGCATCAAAACTATCCAAGCACTAGGGCAGGTAGCCAGTTTAGAGAACTGAGATTTGCACATGGCTGAGGCTTTCCCTTATAAACACTAACAGAGTTGCTGCTTTGTATTGTTCTTTTTAGTGTTAGACATTGTGAAAGAGACATCTTTTAAAATAAGCCTGAGGCCTTTTTACATAAGTAGATAAAAAAGGAAAGCAATAAAATAGTGGGTGCTAACCACAAAAAAGGCAACTGTCCCCACTATTTTTATTTCCAAATCAATTTTAACATTTGAACTTTCCCTTTTCTGGAGTTACTGTTTCCCCATCACTCCTGGCCTGCACTGGCCAGGTTCTCCAGGGACCCAGCGGGTTTGTGGGTTACCACAGAGACAGCTTGCATCTGAGGCATGTCACTCTTTATGGGCCCTTTTCTTCCTTGATGCTGTACTGACCCCCCTATCACTGGACTTGGCATGTTTGCCTATAGCATCTATTCTGTGGAGCTTAGGGAAATGTGTGTCAGGGTAGACCAGGAACTCTGAGAGGGAGACGTGCACAGAAGCTTCAGTGCCTGCACCTTACTGGCTATTGAGAGGACTTTTCTGCTTCCTGCTTGCAGAGAACTGAGATGGACAGATGATAACATAGGCCATTATATTGCTATATCTTAAACTGGCATTTTTTTTTTAGTTTGTCTTTGTCTTTCTTTTTTTTTTAATTTTAATTTAGTTTGTTTATTTTTCATTTCAATGAACATGCACCTCCCCAAACCCCACCCCCTACCCCCAAATATAATCCACTCTGCAACCCTCATTGCGTACTCCTAGGATAAAAATAATTCCCTAAAATATAATACTTTTAGACTATTCTCTCCCCCATAGACTTCAATGCGTAAACATACTTCATCCAGTTTTTCTCAGTCTTACCCCCACCCCAATGCCAGCCTCATTCTACAACAGTGGCACCGTATAGCATTTGTCCCTTTGTGACTGAGATACCTCACTC